GGCATACTGACGATTAAATTAAAAGATTTATTCTTGCTTTTATTATATTACTTTATATCCAAATCCAGCTGTCTCCAGACCTATCCTATAGTAAAAAAATTTCGCTGTCAAACCGGATATTTAAATGGGGACCGCTGAGCATAGATAACCCAATTTTTCGCATTCTCTAAAGGTTTTTGTCCAAATTAAGCAAGAATGCCAATAACCCTAGATCGTTTCAGGTGATTTTAATACTGATAGTTGAATTTCACACTGAAATAAATATTCTTCTCCACGCCATTTAATTTTCCACACGATGCTTCCAAGGAACCTGTATAATCCAGGGTATATTGCCTTTTTTACTTCCTCGACTCGCACGATCCAGCTTCGGATTCCGTTGGGAGTGCGGATGAGACTTAAGTCATTCAATTTCTCATTAGGTAGCTAGTGATAGCTTTGAAAACAATATATCACTGCCTTATATTTCCTTATTGAATCGGCTTTAATCGCTTCATTCAAATCGCTATCCTCATAAGTTGTTTCTACATAACATCAGAGGGGAACACAATTCAAATACATTCACCATGGTCTTTTGTATTCACAAAGCAAGCACATTGTCATTTTCACTAACTTCACTTTAATTATTTTGTCATATAATGTTTAATTGTAATTTTGTCCTTTACTCATTTTCCAATCAATGAAATAATTCAGGTTATCTCAATGCTGAAAAAATTCGCCCAGGACAAGCGTATGGCTGGAGCTGGAGACAAGACGTCGATGCGCGATCTCAGCCAGATGCTAAAAAAGATGCCTCAATATCAGAAAGAGCTTTCGATGTATTCGACACATTTCCATTTGGCAGAAGACTGCATGCAGACGTATCAGAACCACGTAAACAAGCTCTGCAAAGTGGAACAGGTGAGTTTTAATTGGTTAACACTTTTTCATCACTATGAGTTTATCCTATTCTGCCAGGTTTCCTCAGCTGCTTTATTTAAAAACAATCATCCTGATTTTTCCTTGGCACTAGATATAGTAGATTAAACATAAAACTCTTTTTATTGAATACTTTCTTTACTTACTGGCCAACAGATTTTAATATTTATGGTATCTTATAGTGTTAAAGGGTTAAAAGAAAAGTCAGATTTGTAAAGATTTGCATAAATACTTAAAAAATTAATTTATTTCTAGTGAAGTACATATCTTTTCAGCCATTAACCGCAAGTGTTGGAGTACCTTTAATTTCGTGAGTGACTATAGGTTTGTGCGAATGAGCTCTTGGGTCATTATCCCACTACCCCGATGAATCCCTTCTGAGCTTTCGTCCGTCATGTAATGGTCATCGTCATAGCAGGATACCATGTTTTACCATAATTCGTTAAGCACAGACAAAAAAGGTGACCGGCTCCAATCTTACCCACTTCTTATAGCCTAATTTTGTCTGCTCAGTGAGACATCTTATGATTTAGTTGAATATCCAATCTTTTCCTGCATGCTGTTGAAAAGTGAAGTGGCTCCTGATGAAGTGTGAAACGAAGGCAATTGTGACCGAAAAATTGCATACTCCCTTATATCACTTGTATTTTTGATCCTGTAATGTTGCAGCGTGTGATTGCGTTCCAGTGCACATGAGTTGTGTGCATGCAATGTTCGTTAGACGCATGGAGTGTTGAAGTTAAAACCAGACTTGAGGCTAGTCGAGCCTCCTTTTTTTGGCGATAATTCTTGTTCTCTATCTTTCATTCTATCCAATAGCCACATTTAGTTTCATCTTAGTTTCCTACTCATTCCTTTTATTCAGGATATCGGATGTTTTGTTGATTTCTTCCTCTTACTGATATGCTCCGTGTATTCACCTAAGCGTTTGGCTTCATATCAATCTATCTGGTGTCCTCTCCGGGCTTTTTGTTTGACAAATTCTGACTTTTGGACCCACAACCCTTTGCAAGCTGTTCTATGTTTATATAACGTCTTATGTATCGGCCGGCTGATAAGACAGCATTTATTAGAGTATTCAAAATCGCCCACAAAGTAGGTCACTTTCTTAGAACTTGCATTGATGATCAACGACCGACTTTAAGGAGAATCATCCAAAAGCATGGTCACCTTTTGGCTTTATATGGCATATACTTTACTATTAA